GATGGCATCATATAAAAAGTATAATTCGTTGCGCTGCTGCTGCAGATCCGCAGCCTCAGGGAGACAGCCGTTCTCCTGCGGCACAGCAGCATACCACACAACAGACACGAACCCATGCAACATAGAGAGGAAACGGCTAGCTAGCTAGCCATCTAGCTAGCTAGACATATAGCTAGCTGGCTAGCTACCTAGATAGCAGGCTAGATATGTGGAGTGCTCCATTCGAATGCTGCAACACCCGTAAGGATATAAAACAACTAAAGCAGAAAAACAAATACAGAGGAAAGAAAAATAGGAGACAAATAAAGAGAGAACAAAGACATAATAAGAAAAAAAGGTAATAAAGAAAAATAGGAGACAAATGAAGAGAGAGTAGAGATATAATAGAGACAGAACACAGAGGTAATGAAGAGAAAAAAAAGCGGAAAAAAAGAGAAGATAGAGAAAGAATAGAGACAAGCCAAAGAGAAACTGACGACAAAATAAAAAAAATATAAAACCATAATAAAAAGGAACAAAGAGAAAATAAAGGGACGATAGAAAATAAAGAAATAATAAATAGGGAATAAAGAAATAATAAAGAAAGATAGGGGGCAGGCAGATGTGCAGCAGATAGAAGGGATATAAATGGATAAGAGACAGAAAAAAGGGAAATAGGTAGAGACAGAGATCAAGGAGACAGGCAAAAGAGAAGAGGAAGAAAGAAGACAGATAGACAGGAGACAGATAGAAATGAGGCAGATAGAAAGGAGACAGACAGAAAGGAGACATATAGAAAGGAGACAGATAGAAAAGAGACAGATAGAAGGTTTACTTCCATAAGGAGCCCAAAGAAAGGAGACAGTCGATGACGCTGCGCCTCTGCTGCTGCAGCCTCCAACACAGAGCCGCTTGCTGCCTGCCAGGGAGCAGCTAGGACACGGTTGCTGCTGTCTCCTTCTAGCGGGGGTTCATCTTCTACACGTTTTGCTGCTGCTGATGCTCCTGTTCCTGCTGCTGCTGCTGCTGCTGTTGCCCCTGCTGCTGCTGCTCCTGGGGAAAGCTCCATAGCCTTCGTGTCGCCGGCACCTGCTGCTGCACGAGGAGCTCCAGCAGCAGCAGCCTCAGGTGACCCTGCAATTTCCGTTTGTTCTGCTTCTGCTGCTGGTGCTGCTCCTGCTGCTGCTGGGGGAGATAGAGATACGCGCTGCTGCTGCTGCTGCTGCTGCTGCTGCTGCTGCTGCGCACCGGGAGAGTCCCCAGGTGATACCCGTGTTGGGGCCCTTCGGCGGCTGTTGGCCCTTGAAAGGCGATGCTGTAGAGACACCTCAGCAGAAACCCCTGAACAGGCAGCAGCAGCAGCAGCAGCAGCAGCAGAACAGCAGCAACGAAAGGAACCAACAATGGAGCTGGAGCAGCAGTGATGCCGCAGGAGGGGCGAGACCAAGTTGCAGCTTCTCGGCACAGAAGAGGGAGACAAGAGGAGACAGAAGAGAGGAGGAGACAGAAGAGAGAGAAGGAAACAGAAGACAGAAGGAGAAAGAATACAGAAGGAAACCGAAGTGAGAGAAGCGGAGAGAGGAGACAGCAGGAGATAAAAGGAAGAGAAGGAGACAGAAGCGAGACAGAGGCTGTGTCTCTGTCTCGCCAACAGGAGGAGACAAACAGCAGCAGCAAGAGGAAATAAACAGCAGCAGCACGGAGAGACAGACAGCAGCAGAAGACAGCTAACGGCTAGCACTTGGATCACAGAGAGACAAAGATAGAGACAA